TTGTAGGTTTTTTCGTCCAAGACACAGCTTTCCATTCCAAATGACCGCTGACTGTTTATTTCTAGGATGCTGATTTGATTATGTTGGGACTTGCAACGCATGAACCTCACTTTCGAGTTCTTAGAGAAGACGTGTTTTTCCAAGAATCTAAAGGGCGAACTTGTCATTTATGTGGACAAACTGGCCATATAGCCGAAGCCTGTAAAGGCACTGCAAAAGAAAAGAATGGTGAATTTGATGAAAAGGGCAAAGGAAGTTCCCTCAAGCCTTTCATCTGGCTCCATGTCTCTGTACTTCGTGAATACCTCGCTGTCGAAATGCACGTTCCGCAGCAACCTTTTCCCTTCGATTTAGAGAGAGCTCTAGATGACTGGGTGTTTATGTGCTTTTTCGTGGGAAATGATTTCTTGCCCCATCTGCCATCTTTAGATATCAGAGAAAACGGCATCGATACCCTGATTGCTATATGGCGCGACAATATACCTGTCATGGGTGGTTATTTAACCAAAGATGGCCATGTTGATTTGAATAGGGCACAGCTTATCTTACAAGGACTGGCTAAACAAGAGGATGCCATTTTCCGTCGCCGTCGCCAAACTGAAGAAAGAAAAAATGCGAACGCCAAAAGGAGGAAAGAGGAAGAGAGAGTCCGGGAGGAAGAGCGTTCACGAAAACGACGTAGAAGCTCTCCTACTTATGGGACAATGAGAAATGAGCTCTCTCTACCCGCCCCGCCACCACTCATGGTTCCTGGAAAGGGCAATATTTCTAGGGCTGAGAGGGAACTCACACACTCCATGGTTGTGAACCGTGGCGCCATTTACAAGGCAAACATGGCCAACAAAAGCGCGGCTGCGGCTATCAAAAGTCAACTCTTCAAAGGCGCTAGTAGTAATGGTGATTCTACTGGTATTGATGCGGAAGATTCTGTGGATGGTGCAACCGATGCTTCTTCACCAACTCACCTAGGCAAAAGAAAGGCCGACGCTCTAGACACAGGAACAGAGTCCGAGACGCCTTCAATAAAACCACAAGACAACGATGATGATCTACCTCCGGACACAGTTAGACTGTGGGAAGAAGGGTACGCTGATCGGTATTACGAGCAGAAGTTTCAAGTTCATCCAAAGGATATCGAGTTTCGTCACAAGGTAGCCAGAGCTTACGTTGAAGGCCTAGCATGGGTGCTCCTATACTATTTCCAGGGCTGCCCTTCATGGACATGGTATTACCCGTACCATTACGCTCCTTTTGCTGCCGATTTCGTTGACCTGGGCAAAATGAACATTGAATTCAATAGAGGGGCACCATTCAAACCTTTTGAGCAATTGATGGGAGTCTTACCGGCGGCATCCAATCACGCAATCCCAGAAGTATTCCACGACCTAATGTCAGATCCGAATAGTGAAATCATCGACTTCTACCCTGAGGAATTTCCAATAGATCTTAATGGCAAGAAATTTGCATGGCAGGGGGTAGCACTTTTACCATTCATTGACGAGAAACGTCTCCTGGTTGCGATGGAGAAGCGATATCACCTCTTATCGAGCGAGGAGCATGCTCGAAACTCAATGGGGAGAGATGTGCTCCTCGTATCCGATCGACATCCGTTATACGATAATTTAACCGCGAACTTCTATTCCAAGAAGCAAGGACTACCGAAGTTGAAGCTAAACATGCGAGTGAGCGAAGGTTTGGGAGGTAAAGTAGAGCGCAACGATGCGTACGTTCCGCATAGCTCTCTTGTCCCTCCATTTGATAACGTGGATCTACCCACACTGGATGAAGATCATTCAATAAGGTAAGTTCTCTTTTCCCCAAACATTGAAGCATTTCGGTAGTCCTTTCCTTAGTTTAACTTGAAGTAGTGTCCTCTACGATATTCCCAAATCCATGAACACTCACAAATCGATGCTTCTAAGAGGCGTAAAGCCTAACCCTCCAGTCCTCGATAAAACCGACATCGAAATCACCAGAAACAAAGCTCAGCGGTCCGGCCGCTCCTTTGGAGGAGTGCCGTTCAGCAATGGTAGGGGCAGAGGTGGTCCAATGTCATATGGCAGCAACCGTCCCAATAACGATAGGCCTAACCCCTTTGCCGCTCATATTAACCCTGACTTCGTGCCACCGCCAATACCGCCATCGCATACGGGTGGGCCCCCAGCAGGATGGGCCCCTCCACCCCCAAGGATGGTTGGTGGTGCATATGGTGCATCTCGGTTCGACAGGCTCCCACAAGCTCATCCCTACCAACAACAACGGAGTCATAGCTATCCACATCAATCCGGACAACGTGGTCAGTACTCTCAGTCATATAACCAACCAAGGGAATACGGCCAAGATAGGCTATCTGGTCAAACCCAGCAATACGGGCAAAGAGGAGGGTATGGACAGTATCGAGGAAGCCATAATACCTCCGGTGGTGGTGGTGGTGGTGGAGGAGGAGGCAATGCAGGCCGAGCTCGGGGCGGCGGATCCTATAGAGGCGGTGGCCGTGGATATTACCAAGGCCAAAACACTTATAATGGCAACCGCCATGATGGATATGGGCGGTATTGATTGGAGATGTTTTTCATTTAGTTAGATGATTGTTAATGTACGGTATTTTGAAATACATATTGCTTTTTTGCGGCTTTTGTTGGATGTAACTGTTAGTTAGGGACGAATTCAAGTGCGATTCGAGTTCAGAAGTATTGGGCACACGTTGCCCGGGCAGCCGCCCCACCGCACGTGATTGTGTATATAGATAGTCTAGCTAGCCTTTCATCTGAAGAGGAGATTGAACCATCCCACAAGAAGTTAAAATGAATATAACTACCATGGAACATATCAATTATGGAAAGCAGATTTATATTCCCTCAGCATACGTTTCGGGAATTGTATGGGGACCGTATACTGTATACAACCTATGGTTGAAATTCGGTGTCAATAATTGAATTCAATTGCGCGACCTAGTTCAAAAATAGAATAGCCTGGTGTTTTTGCGCTGTATCAATACAGCGATAGGTAAGTTAACAAACTCTCGAAGGGCTTAACGTAATTCCACACTGAGCGAGACACCCCAGCGAGCGTGACACCATTTCAAAATATCATCTAATTCAACTACCCTTCCACTTCAACGCGCAATTATGCCACCAATTCGCAATAAAAATTCTTCAAATTCTATTGAGAGAGAGGGGAGGCTTGAACTCATGATAAAATCTATTCAAAATGATGAAAAACTCTCAATTTGTGAAGCTGCACGCCTATTTGATGTTTCATCTTCTACTCTTGGTCATCGACTGAGTGGCAGACCTGCACGGGTGAATTTACACTCAAATTCACACAAAATTGACTCAGACTGAAGAGGATAGGCTAGTTGAATGGGTGCTGGGCCATGTTAAACAAGGATTTCCCCCCCGGTCGGCATTTGTTGAGGATATGGCTAATTATCTTCTTACCTTATGGAATTCCATCATCTCTACCATCTCTCCCCCCCGGGTCAGCAAGAACTGGATTTCAAGACTGATTAAACACTGTACAGAGCTTCAAAGCTGCTATTTCAGACGCTATAATCATGAACAAGCCAAATGCGAAGATATCAGGGTTATACAGGATTGGTTTAAGATCTTGAAGACTACAATTGCTGAGCATGGGATTCTGTCAGAGGATATATACAACTTTGATGAGACTGGCTTTGCCATGGGGCTCTGTGCCACTACTAAGGTCATCACTAGTGCTGAGTGCTATGGCCGGGCAAAGCTCCTACAGCCTGGGAATCATGAATGAGTGACTGTGATTGAGACAGTCAACGCGTCAGGATGGGCCCTATCCCCATACATCATTCTCAAAGGGCAGATCCTACAGGAAGGCTGGTTTGATGGGCTCCCAGACAGGTGGAGACTTGATATTAGCCCTAATGGTTGGACTACAGATGAAATAGGAGTCAAATGGCTTACTAGGCTGTTTGTTCCTGCTGCAAATCCACGCAGGGTTGGCACTCATAGTCTTCTTATTCTGGACAGGCACAGCAGTCATCTTACCCCAGAATTCAATCAAATCTGCAAGGATAATGCTGTTATATGTCTTTGCATGCCACCTCATTCATCACATCTCTTACAGCCACTAGACGTGAACATTTTTGCAGTCTTAAAGCAAGCATATGGGGGTCTAGTTCAACAGCAAATGCGGCTAGGATTTAATGCTATTTGGAAGACAGATTTCTTAGAGACTTATCCTGCAGTGTGCACTGAAGCCTTCAAACTGCAGACTATTCAAAATGGCTTCAAAGCTACTGGAATAGTGCTCTTTCAACCTGACTACATTCTCCAGCAGCTGGATATTCAACTCCAGACCCCTACCCCCCCACACAGCAGCTCTAGCAATTCAACCACATCCTGGGTGCTTCAAACACCTAGTAATCCCTGGCAATTACACCGGCAGGCAAATAAGATCAAATACTTAGTGGAAGGTCAGCCTCAAGGCTTTGTGGAAGACTTTGACCAAATTATCAAGGCCTGTGAACATGGAATGGTCAGTGCCACTATTCTAAAGAAGCAATACCAGGATATATTCAACGCGAATGAGATAGAGAAGCAAAAGCAGACTAGATCTAGATGTCAGATTCAACATGCAGGGGGTCTCACTAGGCAGGAAGCTCAGAATCTTATTATTCCACCTGCTGCACCTGTTGAACAGTCTGTCATTCAACCTTCTGAGCCTGCAGTCTCTGGGCCTAGGCCATGCTCAGGAGCACCACAGCGGTGCAGCAACTGCAATTTACCTGACCATAAGAGAACAAGATGCCCTCAATCTAGTGTAATTTAATTTAATTTAATTAGGGGGGGGTGGGTGTAGATATTTCAGGTTAAAATCTAGTTAGTTGGGATACGGTGGTTTTGGTGTCTCGCTCGCTGGGGTGTCTCGCTCGGTGTGGAATTACGTTAACTAGTTAATTACTTATAACTCTTATCCTGCCTCGCGTAACTAACTCGGCGGACAAAATTGAGTCTCAGCTTGGGTCAACAACCGACAACCCACGACCTGGAAGAGATCGCCTTAAAAGAATTTGGCCACTTACCACTGTTCTTCTGTTCTTGTGTTCCCAATTTCTGTGTGGCGACTCTTTAAAACACCAGCCCGTTGCTTGTTCATCCGCTGCTTGAAAACTCCCCGCACGTCGGCTGCTTTGACAGCATCTGGTGTCACTACATTGCTCAATTGACTCAGACTCGAGCTACAAAATACATCACGAGCTGCAGCATTGCCAATTGTCACTGATTCCTTCATGCGAACGAGGACGTGGCGAGGAAGAATCCAACAACGCCGTTCCGGTCTTCCCATCCGTTCATAAACACCCATACTCCTTTACCTTCCCCAGATTCATAACCAACCATGGGAGTTCCAACCAAGATCAGTATTCTTGGCCGCGAAAGCATAGTCGCTGATTTTGGCATCTGGCGGAACTATGTTGCTAAGGATCTATTAAGCAGCTGTGCTTCCTCAACCTACATCCTAATTTCCGACACGAACTTGACACCCCTCTATCTCGCAGGCTTCCAACAGTCCTTCGAAAATGCTGCAGCGGGACTTTCTCCCAAACCTCGCCTTCTTACCTACGAAATCCCCCCCGGTGAATCTTCAAAATCCCGGGAGACCAAGGCGGACATTGAAGACTGGATGCTTACCCGTCAACCTCCATGCGGGCGAGACACTGTGATCATTGCCTTGGGTGGTGGCGTTATTGGAGATTTAATTGGATTCGTTGCTGCCACATATATGCGTGGAGTTCGCTTTGTGCAAGTCCCTACAACCCTTTTGGCCATGGTCGACTCGTCGATTGGTGGCAAGACTGCGATTGACACCCCAAATGGCAAAAATTTAATCGGTGCTATCTGGCAACCGCAAAGGATCTATCTGGATATGGAGTTTTTGAATACGCTACCCGAAAGAGAGTTTATAAATGGCATGGCGGAAGTGATCAAAGTGGGTGAATTACTCTTCTACAATTCCCCTCTTTCCCTTTATTGCAAGCCCCTTTTAATTTCCACTGCTGACTTGTGGGTGCCCATAGACTGCTGCAATTTCCAGTGAAGAAAAGTTCGCGGCCTTAGAAAATGACGCTGACGTCATCCTAGCTGCTGTAAAATCCAAAAACACCCCGGAACGACTACGATTCAGTAACATCCAAGAGACCCTGAAAAGAACAATTTTATCCTCCGCAGAATTTAAGGCCCAAGTTGTGTCAGCGGACGAAAGGGAAGGCGGACTACGCAACCTCCTGAATTTCGGCCATTCCATCGGCCATGCTATAGAAGCTATCCTAGCCCCGCAAGTCCTACACGGGGAATGTGTTTCCATCGGAATGGTCAAAGAAGCCGAACTGGCTCGCCATCTTGGAATTCTAAATAACGTTTCGGTAGCTCGCATTGTAAAGTGCCTAGCCAGCTATGAGCTGCCAACGTCTCTCAAAGATGAACGGATAAAGAGGCTGACCGCCGGCAAGCATTGTAGCGTGGAACAAATAATCGCCTATATGGGTGTTGACAAAAAGAACGACGGTCCAAAGAAGAAAGTCGTACTTCTCTCTGCTATTGGACGCACTTATGAGCCCAGGGCGTGTACAGTGTCGAATGAAGATCTCCAAGTTGTACTTGCGCCAAGCATTGAAGTTTATCCAGGTTTCCCAAAATCTCTGAACGTCACCTGCACACCCCCAGGATCGAAAAGCATCTCAAATCGGGCCCTCGTCCTTGCGGCACTTGGGTCAGGCACATGTCGCATCAAAAATCTCCTACATTCAGACGATACTGAGGTTATGCTTACTGCCCTTGAGCGTTTAGGGGCCGCCACATTCTCATGGGAAAATCAGGGTGAGGTGCTCGTGGTCAATGGCAACGGTGGTAGGATGGTGGCTAGCCCTAAAGAATTATACCTAGGAAACGCTGGGACGGCCTCACGGTTCCTGACTACGGTCGCTACTCTCGCCCAAAATGGGAGTGTCGCTTCAAGTGTCCTTACAGGAAATGCGCGGATGAAGCAAAGGCCCATCGGCGATCTAGTTGATGCTCTCAAGGCCAACGGGGCTGATATCGAGTACCTCGAAAATCCGAAGAGTCTTCCACTCAAGATTACTGCTTCTGGAGGTTTTGCTGGTGGGGAGATACGTCTTTCTGCCAAAGTATCATCTCAATATGTTTCCTCATTGCTGATGTGCGCTCCCTATGCAAAAGAGCCGGTGACTCTACGTCTTGTGGGTGGCAATCCTGTTTCTCAACTTTACATCGACATGACCACCGCTATGATGAGGTCGTTCGGCATCGACGTAAAAAAATCTGAAACGGAAGAGCACACTTATCATATCCCTCGTGGTGTCTATAAAAACCCTGCGGAATATGTTGTTGAAAGCGATGCCAGCTCGGCCACATACCCCTTGGCGATTGCGGCTATGACGGGCACTTCCTGCACCGTCCCGAATATTGGTTCCAAGTCCTTGCAAGGCGATGCCCGATTCGCCATTGATGTGTTGCGACCTATGGGATGCACCGTGAATCAAACAGACTTCTCAACTTCAGTGACTGGACCTGCTGGTGGAAAACTCAAATCAATTCCTACCATAGACATGGAGCCGATGACTGACGCGTTCCTTACTGCTTCAGTCCTTGCTGCCGTGGCGAGAGGTCAGGGATCGAATCACACTACACGGATATGCGGTATCGCAAACCAGAGGGTCAAAGAATGCAATCGAATTAAGGCAATGAAGGATGAACTTGCCAAATTTGGCGTCACTTGTCGGGAGCATGACGATGGTCTTGAAATTGATGGTATCGACCGTTCGACTCTGTGTCATCCGCCAGAAGGCGTGTTTTGCTATGACGACCATCGCGTAGCAATGAGTTTCAGCATCCTTGCATTGGCTGCGGAGCAGCCAACGCTGATCCTTGAAAAGGAATGCGTAGGGAAAACGTGGCCCGGCTGGTGGGACACCCTAGCTCAGACTTTCAAAGTGAAGCTGGATGGAAAGGAAGTGGAGGTGGAGGAGAAAGCAGAAACGAATGGCGTTGCTCATGTGGACAAATCGGCTGCATCTATTTTCATCATCGGCATGCGAGGCGCAGGTAAAACCACGAGTGGCGTATGGGTTTCCAAGGCACTTCAACGACCTTTTATAGACTTAGATGACGAGCTAGAAAAAAATGAAGGTATGACGATTCCCGAAATGATCAAACAAAGAGGCTGGGAAGGGTTCCGGGATTCTGAACTCGCACTTTTACGGCGTGTAATGACTGAAAAACCAATGGGATACATTTTTGCCTGTGGTGGAGGTGTTGTTGAATTGCCTGAGGCTCGAGAACTACTGACCCAGTATCACAAAACCAAGGGCAATGTCATACTTGCGATGCGAGACATTAAAGAAGTTATGGATTTCCTCAAAATTGACAAGACACGCCCAGCCTATGTGGAGGATATGATGAGTGTCTGGTTGCGTCGAAAACCATGGTACCAGGAATGTAGTAACATTCAGTATTACAGCCGGATAACGCAACCCGATGGGATGGCGCAGGTACTTCATGGCTTCAATCGCTTTTTGAAAGTTATAACTGGAAAATTGGACAGCCTTGCGCAGATGAGAAGGAAGGAAAATACTTTCTTCGTTTCGCTAACCTTTCCCGATCTCACTCCAGCTAGCAATATCCTGAAAGAAGTTACGCTGGGCTCAGATGCGGTAGAACTTCGTGTTGATTTGCTCAAAGATCCACAATCTGACAGCGAAATCCCCTCTGTGGACTATGTTGCTGAGCAAATATCCGTGCTACGAAGTCGGGTCTCAGTTCCTCTTGTGTTTACCATCCGCACAAAGAGCCAAGGAGGTCGGTTCCCAGATGATGCATACGATGCTGCCCTGCGGCTCTACTGCCTTGCCATTCGGATGGGGTCTGAATTTGTGGACCTTGAACTGTCATTCCCAGAACAGCTCCTGCGCACTGTAACTGAAATGAAAGGTTTCTCGAAAATCATTGCCTCTCATCATGATCCCGAAGGACTATTGTCATGGGCGAACGGATCATGGATTCAGATCTACAATAAAGCTCTTCAGTATGGAGACGTGATCAAACTTGTTGGTGTTGCAAAAACACTTGACGACAATGCTTCCCTGAAAAAATTTAAAACATGGGCAGAAGCAAAACACGATGTTCCCTTGATCGCTATCAATATGGGCTACAAGGGCCAGCTAAGCCGGATCCTTAATGGCTTCATGACACCGGTATCCCATCCCGGCCTCCCCTTCAAGGCAGCCCCTGGCCAACTATCCGCCAGAGAGATCCGAAAGGGTCTGTCCCTCATGGGTGAGATCAAGGCAAAGAAATTTGCCGTCATAGGCAAACCCGTCTCCTCCTCCCGATCTCCAGCAATGCACAACGCTCTCTTCAAACAAATGGGTTTGCCACATACATACGGGAGAATAGAAACAGACAACCCGGAAGACGTTAAGGAATTCATACGATCCCCAGACTTTGGAGGCGCCTCCGTCACCATCCCCTTAAAACTAGACATCATGCCCCTACTCGATGAAATAGCTCCAGAAGCAGAAATGATCGGAGCAGTCAACACCATTGTCTCCGTCCCGGCAGCTCCAGGCGACAAATCCCAATCTTCACGCCTCATCGGCCGCAACACAGACTGGCAAGGGATGGTCCGCTGCCTAAGTGACGCAGGCGCATACTCAGCTGCTACCCCCACCACCTCCTCTGCCGGCCTAATCATCGGAGGCGGCGGTACCGCCCGCGCCGCCATCTTCGCGCTGAACAGCATGAGCTACTCCCCCATCTACATTGTAGGCCGCTCGCCCGAAAAGCTGGCTTGCATGGCCTCCTCGTTCCCTGCAGACTACAACATTCGCATCGTGGATGACGTAAAGGCTCTGGAATCTCTTCCAATGGTGGCAATCGGGACGATACCGGGTGATAAGCCGATCGAACTGCATATGAGAGAAGTGCTCTGTGAGATTTTGAGTTTGTGCGAGAAGGCCAATGTAGAGGCAGAGCGCAGGACTGGCATCACCCCAAAGCGTATTCTGCTCGAAATGGCATATAAACCTTCTGTCACGTCGCTAATGAAGTTGGCTAGTGATGCGGGGTGGACGGTTTTACCGGGTCTGGAGGTTTTGGTTGCCCAGGGAGTGTATCAGGTTAGTACAACTCTTGATTTATTCGTTTCTATTTTATGGTTTATTGAATATGGCTAATTTTTGGCGTGCGTTCTCCGAACAGTCTGAATACTGGACCGATATTACGCCCGTGTATGAAAATGCCAGGGTATGTCTCGTGTCTTCTCTCCTTGTTGAGCTATCCCTCTACTCCTTCATCAGCATGCTTCTAGAAAACTAACCGATAATCTCCTTCTATGCAGAAAGCGGTAATGGGCGTATCATCGAGCGATGATATCATCTCGTAAGACGGAATGCAACGTCTCGCGAGCTGTGCGGACTCTACGTGAAACAGTTTGAGTCGAAATTGGGATGCCGAGAGCTGGAAAAGATTGCACTTTTTAATACAAAAGATAAAGGAGATAGATGATTTCAACTTTTTCCTAATTACAAATTAAAAATTTCAACATCCAGATTTATATAAAAGAACAATTTCTCTTTACCTGAGCGTACTGGGTGTCCTGCTGTAGGTGCGTGATTATCTCTGCCTGGCATCTCACATTATCTGTCAGATATATTCAACCACCTTCTTTCTCTCTTGGTTAAAGACTTGATTTATTAAGTTCTAATAATGCTGTTGTCAGCAGCACTTACATGTTTTATTTGTTCCTTTTTTCGGGGTATATACTGTTGGGCACTGGTTGCCTGGGCGGCCACTCCACCGCACGTGATGGGTTAACCCTATATAGTTAGCTAGCTTCGACCACAACAATAACAAGATCAACCATCCCACATGTACGTGTATATGCCTTTTACTAGTTTTGCCCAGCCAGTACAGATCCGTCAAGAAAAAAAGACAGAAATAAAAAGCCTTCTTCTCAAATTATTCACCAATAAAACTTCGTTAAAAAAAAGACCCTAGAATGCCCTTTCGTTTCTCAAGGTAAGGTTAAGACTCCCATGGAATGCATGCTGCCAATATAGCCAGATATTGAACACAAAAAGCTGCAATATACAGAGAAGGGGGGGGGGATGGGATAGTGGGAGTAAAAGTGAAGCAAGAACTTTAGTAAACCATAAATGACCACAACATCCATATCCATATCCATATCCATTCATACAGGCAGGAGCACATTCGACATTCCAAAAATGCGTCCCTCCCTGATGATAAAATTGCAGTCTCCCGCTGATAAGTAAGATGCACAACCACAACCCTCTCGTAACCGCGAACACCTCACCATGATATAAGCATGAAATCCCTCCTCTCCCCCAAAACATACTCACACCCCTCATTCCCCTTTCCCACCTCCTCCCCACTCCCTTCTCCTTCTCCTTAATCAGCCACCAATGACGCCTCCCCATCCCCATTCCCCTTCCCTTTCCCACTCTCACTCCGCACCTCCCTCTTCTTCCTCTTATAAACCGCCATCCGCTCCTCCATCTCCCTCCGCCACGTACACTCCTCCCGAAACTCACAAATCCCGCATTTCCACGCCTCCATCACCTGCACGCCGCGCGCCGGCCTTTGCCCGCGCCACCAGCGCATTTCGTCAGCTAGGTAGTTGTAGAGGGAAGGAGGGTTGAAGAGGAAGGAGCGGCTGCCTCGGTATTGCATTTGTTCATCGGAGGTAGTGGATGGGGTCATATAGGTGACTGTTAGGACGGGGGAGAGGAGGGTTGTTAGGGATGGGGTATCTTGGAGCAGGTTGTTGGTGGGTTGGGGTTGAGGATGGGGTTGAGGTTGAGGTTGAGATTGATATGGCATAGGTATTATTGTTGGTGGTGTTTTGGAGTTTCGGGGGAGGAATGTAAGACGGAGTTGAGATTTCATGAGCTTCCAGAGGCTGGAGAGGCAGTTGTGTTCTAGGAGCATGGTCATTGAGTCTAGGCTGCTAGTGGGCCGTGATCCTTCTCCACCGGCTTCTGCACCTGACGATGGAGGGTTATAATCCGCGTCTAAATCATGTGACGCGTCGAACAATTCCTCATCAAGGTCGCCTATTTGGGCGAGGAAGGAGTCAGAGAATGGCTGCTCTGTTTGGAGACCATATCGTGAAGCGATGGCTTCGATGGTGACATCGTCTGTGGTAACGAGTCGGGTGAGGAAATGGTAGTATAGCTGTAGTTGGACGTGGGTAGGACGAAAGCTGGTGCTGCTGACAGAGGGAATGGAACCACTGCTTTTCCCGCGCGTCTTGATGTCCGTGAGGTATATCTTCCCCTGAAGACTTGAAGACGTTGAAGGTGTCGTCGCTGAGGGGGCCATGTTTTGTTCAGAAATCGGCACTCCTATGTCAGACAACCTTCTCCCACCACTAGCCGGAGATAGGAAGAATTCCGTAATGGAAGTCTGGTATTCCGGAAACAACGATTTAGAAGTTCTAAAATCCGCATAATGCGCCTCCGCTAATGCGTCTAGCTCATGGTCGGGACACTCGTAAGAGAGTTGGTCAATTACTCCCGTCACGATTTCTCCATCGACATTCCCCCAGACTTCGAACTCCCTCGTCATCCCCGAAACACGGAGCGTACGTAGCCCCTGTATAACATTCCAAAGTCGTAAAGCCCATCCGTCTTCCTTAGTCATAACCTCGACAGGAACGGTTGTATGGACCTGTTCCTCCAACTCTTTATGCACTATGGTCCCCTGTTTCATAGCCGGTGTAGCCCTCTTGCGTCCAAATTTCGTCAATGTATACCAATACTGTAACTCGCACCAGGCAGGAGACACCAAATCCGTAACCGACAGAGCCTTTCTTGGCCGGGTTCGGAACCGTTCAAGGGGGGATCGCTTATCTTGAGCAACCAGACCATTCGAATCTCCATTCGCACTCGCCCTCTGTATATTCTGCTCCGCGGCTATCTGCTGCAACTCCCGCTCCCGATCTCTCTGTCTATCCTTCTGCCTACCTTCGGGTGAACCTTCGTGCTCAGCTAAACGCTTGATTGTCAGAAGAGTCAGTCTTCTGACAGTCGCTCCTAAAAAAGAGATCAAAGGGCAAAGATTGGACGAAATAAGATAGCAAGAACGCACCACCCCAACGGCCAATCCCCTGCTCCATGCTTCCCCTACCCCTACCCCTACCCCTCCCATCGGTAAACAAACGCATCCCCCACCCAGTCCTCTGTGAACTAAAACTCCATTGTATCCTCCCCAAAACCTTAGGTGATCTGCTACTCGACACACCCGCATAATCCTCAATATCCGGCAGCAGTAAGACGGGGGTCTTCGGTAGCTGGTCGGTTATCTCAGCGGCAGCAGCCGTCGCGAGAGAAGCACTGCCGTCTCCACTCGCAGAAACCGCGACAGGTGCACGGGCAGGCGTAGCAGCTCCTGAAGAAGAACCGGGAACAGTTCCTGAATTCTCGTGATCCGCTCTAATCTTCGCCAGGAGCAGATTCAGCACCTCTATCTCGTCGGGGGAGAAGTCGGATCCGTAATCGCTGCTCGCTGGGCTGTCGAGGCTATTATCGCCTATTGGTGACTCTGCCTGTGATGCTAATGCTGTTGCCGGTGCTAATCTTAGAGGTGGAACCGTGGTTGAGACTGAAAGCGGGGCTCCTAGGAGCCGCTGCGGGAAATGTGATGCTGGAGCAGGAGCGGGAGGCGGAGGCGATGTGAGGGCGAAATTCTCTAGAGGGACCGGCTGGTCCATTTAATAGAGCCGCAAAATGTGCTTACCATGGTGATTCTCAATTATTGTGTGGCAGCTGGTTACCTGAGAAAATCACCTGGAGTTATATCGAAGGTGTACATAGTAACTCTGCTTTCGTTCTTATTGTTGCTGGTTGCAACAAGTTTTTAATTCAGTGCAACACTATTAACTAGATAAGGTTAGTAACTAAGTTAAGGGATGCTTAGTAACATTATGTTGTAACGTAATCAATAAGCAAGTCGGCGACATAAGTGAGTCAGCCACTTTCCTCTCCACTGTACAACAAGAATGCCTTCAAAGTCTCAACTATAAAGAAAAACTAGCAAATTACATTATAAATTATTTCCTATACACTTAGAGCATGTATGGGCAATATGCTCAATAATCTCACATACACTACACTGTGGTGCTGCACATTTTTATGATCACAACTCAGCAGTATTAACTACTCTCTGCTCTTATTTATTGACTTTTTGTATATGATTCAAGTCTTCTTCAATTCTCAAAGCATCTTTTTGAGCTACATACATACAGCCTTTTTCTCATTTCTTCTTTTGTTTAGTATTTGCAGCTCTTAACTTTCTATTTTCAGCTATTAGAATAATAGCACTGTATATTATCATTTAACACTTATTGATCAGCTGACTTAGAGTATAATTAATTAGACTAAATGAGCTCTGTATACAGTACTTCATATATTCTTTAACTTTCTCAGCCTGCTGCTTCAATTGATATATATTATATGATGTGATTATGACTCAAAAGGCTTGAAAGCTGTAAGAGATTTCTGAGAGAGTAAGAATATACATCATGATATTAAACTATGAGAAAATCTGCTTAGAATTATACAGAACCAGCTCAGTAGCTCTAAAACTACTCTTAATGTTACTCTCAGTCAAGACTTGCATCTGAGCTGTAGAATAGAGACTCAAAAACTTTTTCTTGTCAATATGATTGATTTCAAGCTGCATTTGATTTTCCATCTGCTGTTTGTATGCAGTTTTTAGAAATGAGAAGTAGTCAATATTCAATGACTGAAGAAGATGAGAGAAATATCATAATATATAGAGAATAATGATTTGATTTTCAGTGTAAAATTAATCAAATTCAGCTGAGATATGACTTCAGTATCAGTCTAGAATCAACAGTCAATATCTGCTCTTCATTTGAAATAAAATCTTCTTGTTGAACATCTCTTTCAGTCAATATAAGCTCAGCTGATTAGTAATTCAATTATTCTTACTAAATTCAATCACTCAGTCATGTGATAGCCCTTCTGTCTTATATCAGTTAGAGAGTGAATGTGAGCTGTCTAAGATAGAATCTCTCTGCGTTGCTAACTGCTATATAATGAAATATTAAAATTGATGAGGAAAAGAGATGTCAGAGTCTGCTCAGATTATAAACAACCTGCATGATCACATGACATATTGTAAACAATCCACGTGATCACGTGACTGGATCATACTGGTCCACTGGGTTACATGTGGGGCGCTATCACGTGGTCACGTGATGGATATAAACCTAGGCCCCCCCGGCGCTGAGCCTAACAATACCAGCAGAATTGATACATCTTTCCTTTGAGAATAATCATTGTATGCAAGACTCAGTCAGTTACATTGACTTCAGCAATAACAGTCACTCATTCTCAATCTTCAGACTGTACAAGCTTGGAATTCTCAGCTCTTTCAGATTTAGTCATTATTCTGACAGTTTTAATTACACTCATCTAAAACTTAGTCTTATCAAAGTTATAGGTATCATTTTTCAGAATCTCATACTTTGCAATAGTGTTTTATATGAGTCTAAATCACTTACAGATAATCTCAGAATTCTCAAATAAGACTCACTGATAATCATACTTGTGTGAGAACTTGAATTTCAACTTATTATGATGTTTGATAAAGTTTCATATTTAGTATTCACTCACTGTGAGTGAGAGATTGAATTCTTAGCTGACAAGAAGAAGATTGATCATTTCTCATACAGCTGCAATCTGAAAAGACTGATCTTGTTCATTCATGATCAGAATTTATTGAACAAAAGATTCTTTCTTTATAAGACTAACTTTTCAGTTCTTTAAAAAAGTATTAACATATACTATATGATCATATACTCAATTATCTAGAGTGAAATGTGAAACATCATACAGCTTTGCTGCAGCTCATGCACTTGAAATTTAATCATTTTTAAATATTTGAATGACTAAAAGAAGTTTTATTTCCTAAGTAAAGGTTTTATTTCTTTATGTGATTGATATTTTTGATGATGAAAATGTTGTTTTGAGATAAGATGAAAAGTGACTGACTTGCTTATGTGACTGACTTACTTATCAATTATGTTTAACTAATAGTTAACTAATATAATCAGACATTTGTTCATATGAGATATTTGTTTATATACTTCTCCGCTATATAATGTATCTATCAATTTAACTGTTAAAATATCAACAACAAAAAACAATCAAGCTTTTTATCAAGAAGAAAGAATTCAATTAGTCATTCAAACATTGAAGATATATTAAATTTCAAGTATCTGAGCTGCTGTATATGTATATCAGATCTTTCATATTAACTTAGTTGAGTGATTACACAACTATACAATATCAAAAGATTCCCAGCTTAAAAATTGAAAACTCAGTTTTACAGAGAAATCAATTCTTCTTCAGTGAATAATATTCATGAATAAATGAGATCAGTCTCTTTGAGTAAGCATCATATGAGAAATAGTTAATTTTCTTTTTGCAAGCTGAGACAACTCTATTATTTCATCAGTTGTTAATACAAAATAAGTTAATTAATTTATTAATTATCACTCTGAAATAAAAACTCAATTCTTTTGATCTTATAATTATCAATAAGTTTTATGTGAAGATTCTAAAATTATTTAAAAATGATTTAAGCTTGTATGAAATATTATTCAAAAGTATAAAATTGCACAAAAGAATATATACAACTTTGATGAGACTGAGTTTCAGATGAGAATTATTGAAATAGTCAAGATGATTATTGAATTAGAGAAGACTCTCTATTCAAAGCTTGTACAGTCTGAAAATACTGAATAAGTCATTATTATTGAGAGAGTTAATGCAACTGACTGAGCATTATTATCAATGATTATTTTCAAGAGAAAGCTACATCAAGTCTTCTGATATGAGAATGAACTACTGTATAACTAACAGATTGAAATCAGTAAAAATAAATAAATAATTGACAAGTTGAGATTAATTTGACTTAAAAATATATTTGATAAACATACACAATTTTATATGATTGATCAATATCAACTCTTGATTTTGAATGAACATAATAGTTATAATGATTCTAAGTTTGATCAGTTTTGCATTTAGAACTCAATCATTTATTTCTATTTATATGTCAGTTCATTTTTCTCATCTCTTGTAGTCTTTAAATGTTGTTTGTTTTTTCTCATTAAAACAAATATATAGAAAAGAAAATGAGAAAAAAATGAGACTTGACATCAATCACATTGATAAAGATGAGTTTTTAATTATTTATTCTTTAGTTTATATAACAATTCTAAGTGAAAAGAATATTTAAAGTGAATTTATAGCTACAGAACTAATTCTATATGATTCAGAGTAAGTTCTTTCTCAGCTCAATACATAGATATATACATCAATTTCTCTCAGAATCTCACATAGCTTTCAATTCTTCTGGGTGATAGTCACATCTCATAATATACAACAACTGAAGCTTCAGAGCAAGAAAGTTAAGAAATACTTTAAGTGCTGTACACTCAGTCCAATCAATTGAGTTCTAGATCAGCTGATCAAGGAATGTCAGATGATCATGCACAGTGCTGCCATTCTGATGACAGAAAACAAGGCATTAAAGACTGCAAATGCCAAACAAAAGAGAAAATGTGAGAGGCATTGTACATTAATAAGCCAGGGAGAGGAATTGACTGTTCAAGAAGGAATGGACTGTATACAAAAATGCAATGAAGTGGAAAGAGAGGTGGTAGAGCAGTCTGATGAGCAGTCACAAAAGTGAGCAGCATCACAGTGCAGTGAATGTGGCATTGTAGGACATACTATTCATACATGCTCCAAGCATATGAGAAATAATTCTTAATGTAATTAGTCAGTTTTGCTATCTAGTTGGGTGATATTCAAATGCAAAGATGTTGGATGGTGGGGAGGTGTATGAACAGGTGTCCCATACGAACAGGTGTCCGATTACGTTAGTTAACCAGTTAATAAGATTACTACTATGGAATAAGCACCGAGTAAATAACTGAATAAAAGTCCACAGGTGCCCCATAGTTGTATTCAATGATGGAGTTGAAATCATAGAATAGTGAATCTGTATCTACATTTCCCTTCACTTGTTTTCTCTATCTATCAAATCTGAGACTGCCTCTCCTCTCACCATTATCCTGAAAGGATCAAAACAGAAGAACCAATAGACAAAAAAAAAATGGTATCACATCTGCAATGACCAGCATCTAAGAATACAACATCTGTCTCTCGATCCGTCTATATCCTCCCGTCTATCCTGTCGACAGCGACAGTACGAGGAACGAACTAAAAAATCAATAGAGAATTCCAACAACCCCCCTCTGTGAAATCATCTTAAAAACAGATCATCAAAATCTCCCAAAAATCAAACCGACACCGCAGGTGTAGCCAGAGTTGTAGCCCGTACCCCTCCACCACTCCGCCGCCCCATCAACTCCTCCCCCTGCACCGCGGAACCAATATCCCTCGCCGCCTTCTGGTTCAACCAGCTCAAATACGCTTGCCAACCAACCGCAATGCTCCCCGCAAAAATACTCCGAAACTGTGGATCAACATACATGAACGTAAACGCCGTGATGGCGGGCCAGAGCTTAGCGCTATTCATGACGCTGATGGGGAGTGCGAGTTTGAGACGCTCCCATGTATCTTGGAGGGATGTGCCGGCGAGCAAGGATTGCATGGAGAAGAAGTATGTGTTGAAGATTGGGGTGAAGATGGCTTGGTTGATGGATACCTT